GGTACCGGGGTCCTTTCCCGGGGGTAAAGCCGGCCGGGGCGTGATGCTGACCACTCACCCCCATCTAGTGCCGAGGTCAAGGAAGAGAGGAGCTATACTTCCACTCACCCCAAACGCCTACATGGTGTATAGTGGGACAAACTTTACTTTACTTTTACTAAGTTGTGAGCAATATTCTTCCAGTAATTCAACAAAGTCAAATCCTGGTGAATGCAGTAGAATTGTCACATTGTGTATAAATTTCATAATTTGTAGTATCTTCACAGCTACAAGGATTCTTTCCTGTGGGTTTACAGACTACAGTTTTAAATTAAAATCTCATCTCTCCCTATCTCATTCACCTTGGGCAATTGGTAATGAACCATTTGGTTTCATAAAAGGCAAGGAATTTTTTGATCAGCTGAACAAGTATTAGCTCTTGGAGTTAGTTGTCTACAATCTTTTGTCACTATGTCAAAAGTCAGGTTATAATAAGTGCTACCTCTTTCCTCAGTAATCTGTTTATATATTTTCATCTTAATAGGTTTGTCCTTGTATAAGAAATTAAGTTCACATTTAGGAGTGCACTCCCATTTGCTTCGTCAGGAATAATTTTATACATCAAAGTGTTTCCTTTTTTTCAGGTATTGACAGGCTTATAGCCTTGTTATGTCATTCTAATAGCATACGTGATGTAATTGCTTTCCCAAAAACTTTGGAGGGTAGAGACCTCATGTCAGGTGCTCCCATTCCAATCTCAGAAGAAGAGAAGGCCCTCTATCACATCCAGACTGTAGATTCAGCACCAATGGAACAGGACACACATAATGTCTCAGAAGTCTCTACACCGTGAAGGAATATGATATGAATCATGGAAACGATATAAGGCAGGTATTTTCTTGGAAAGAGACAAATCTTGTGTTTTTATATGATAGATAAGCAATATTAATTCCTGACTTGATGGAAGAACCCTAAAATTATGATGTTGTGTGTTATGCACATTTTAATTGCTGATACTCAGCAGGTACAATTTTTAAGTTAAATTTAAGATACAGTATTGCTCATTTTATTTGTATCCTAAATGTGTGGTGAAGGATAGCAGACTGTAATGTGTACCAGAATCATTTATTATGAAGGAGGATAATACAGTATTTTTGTGGATGTGCACTTTTGTGACAGAATTGACACTCCTCTTGTCAAATCAGGCTAACATGTAACACGTTTGCTTCATGGCTGTGCTGTCTAGGAAACTCATTTTAAATTAGCAACTGGACCAGCACAGTACACTTGAAGTTCTGATTTAATTACTGATTAAATTATATAAGTATTAAGCAGAGGCAAGAAAAATACTGCCAATGAAAAATCTAGTCTAGCCTAATGCAGTGTGCATAAAACACTAATAGTACAGCCCGTTATTGGGTTTTACTTTGTCATGCACTGTGTAAAGTATTGTAATTGCAAAAATATAAATAAAAATAAACTGCATATGAGAAAGTCAAATATACACTCTGAATATTTAAGCTAGTGACTGTTCACATTTAAATGAAATCATATCAGGGTTCTTCTCAGGTCCTTGAAATATTTTACAGAGGTTAGTTTAATTTGTATTTTATATATCTGTTGAAAAGGAACCTTATAAAATTAAATGTTTTACATATGTACCAAATTAAATCTTAGCTCTTGACTACAGCAGTTTGTTTACATGTGTACTTTGTAGTAATGCTGAATAATAGTGTTTTATATATTTCAGTATATCTGTAAAGAAAGTCCTGTCAGTATGAATAACTAATAACTACTTAAATTTTTTCTTTGAAATAGCCTCACCTACCACCAGAATAAAAATAACTGCCCATTCCACATTAGAAGGCCTATAAAAGGTGTAAGTATCATGTTTTGTTACTGTATATAGCTCCTCCTTCATTTGAAAAAGAAAGGCCTTTCTATTACAAAGATCCATCATTATCCAAAAGAAAAACATGCAGTGTGGGCAGATGCTTAGTTAAAGAGCAGATGGTACACAATTATAATGGATGCAAAATATCTGTGAGCCTGAGGTACATCATAGTAAGAGGGGAAGGGAAGATGTAAAAGGCAAGGGGGGAGCAAGAATCCTCTGTGCTATCACTACCCCTCCCTGTACCTCAGCTGGTTTATTTGCCTCCATGTATATTTGTAACAGTCAGAGAAGCTGAGAGATATCTTGTGACACGTATACCAAACCTTAGAGGATAAAAGTAATTGTTCTTGTATGTTACATTGTTTCTTTACTATTGTGACATTTTCATACCTGATTCATATATGACTTCAATTATTGGTACTGAAAATTAATTAGTAATAAAAATACATAAATCCTTTTGGCATCACCTCTTTATTACTGCAGCACCTTTTTACGTTGGTGTATTAATGCCAAAGTGTGTTAATTTGATTTGTAGTCTGTGTCATACACCACATGTGAGACATATCCCTCATTCCTGATCCTTTTTTGCAACGTTAACAGCAGATTTGCCAAATAGAGCAACTAAACTATTTGAGGTATGGTGAAGTTCAGCAAAATTGTATTGAAACATTTTAGCTTTTGCAATGCTTCATTACTGCCTACTTTTCTTGCAGTCATTCTGTTGAATGGCAAACAACATAGAGATATTATGTTAATGAGGGAAACAACCTTCTGTTAAAAGAACTTTACACTCTGACAGCCATGTACAAAATAATTGTACAGGCCCAGGTTGTGATAATGAATAATAAAGCCAGACGATTAAAATATACTGAAGAGATGAAAGTAGTAATTAAAAATAAAGTTAGGTATCTGTCTATTCCTGAGGATACTGGAAGGTTACCAGCTTATTTGGAATAAGAGAATACACCACTTTCTGATGAACTGTGTTTGTAAACTCTTAACTATAAAAAAATGTTTAATAAAGTTTTTTGAATTAGCTGCTATTTTGAGCAATCCTCACTGATTTTATTCTTCATTATTACAGATAATGAAAGTCTACTGTAATGGAACAGTCATCCCACCTGTGCCTAGGTCTCACAAATGGTATCTTCCCCTCAGGTTTTCTGGCTGTAGTTTTATAACCATTTCTCATATGCCTCTTGTGTACATCAGGCATTGGGCTGCCTTATCCTCCTTCATTTTTTCACCCTAATGGAGGACCACATCAAACCAGTAGAAAGACTGATGACAAACAAACAAAATAAGTGGCAGAGTAAAAATTATGAAGCTCCTCATTATGCAATTTTCTCCAGCCTATCATTTCTTTCTGTCTGTCTTAGGTGTGCATATTCTCAGTACTTTATCTTAGTATTCTTTCATTATGGTTACAGCAAGTTTCATACCTACACACAGAAGAACAGGTAAATACATGGTTCACTTCTTGGATATGATTTTGACATTGCATATTAGCTGAAAAACACTCAGAATAACCTGAAATGACTGCAAAAATGGGGGGTGGGGATGTGTTCAGGAAAATGGAAAATGCAGGAAAAAGGAAGAAACTTTTTTCTCTTCCTCTTAAGCCACATGAATCACAGTTTGGTGCTGAAGTAAATCTATAGTTTATTTTTCCTCAGTAAAGAATCAGCTTCATATGATGATGCATTCCTCTAGTCAGAGTACATGTCACATTCAGTCAATAATTCAGAACAATTTGGATTTTACTTTTAGTTACATCATGAATAAGGCAAGGCTATCAAGGAATAGAGAATGTTTTGATGTTAAATCTTTTATTATCCATCTAATTATTATAAAAGTGTAAACAGTGCTATTTAAAACAATATTTCTGACAGAATTTTACTTGTTAACTTTAAAAGTAATTTCCATTTAACATAATTGACCTATCAAGTGGTGGGCCAATTCCAGTGACTAGGCATTGGGGAGGCATCAGCAACAAGTGACTGACATACAATAATTGGAACAGGAATAAATATTACAAGTACACCAGAGTCAGTCAGTTATCTTTTATACATTGCATTATACATAGGTCATAATTAAAATAAATGACACTGAGGTGTAAAAGGAAACTGATACAAATCTAGATGTTTATATTAATGTGCTTTCAAAGTCTAAACAAGTGCTGGGCATAATATGTTTGCAACACTATATATAACATAGTGAAAATTAAATGTGAAAAAGGATAAATGTAATCCATGCTTTTGTTAGCAAAATTAACACCAGCTCTTTACCAAAAAATTTAGAAGTTCAAATTTTATCTCCATATATCAGTTGTGCCTGTCAGAAGGTACTAACAGTCTCTGCACCCACTGTCTATATTCTGTTGAATCAAATAGAGAAATTATGTTTATGACAGCTTTATGGCATACAGCATCTAGTACTTATAGTAAAGTGAATATGATTTTTTTTTAAAATTTTGAACAAAAACTGCTTCAAACTTTCTGTTTAAATGAAAGGCCTAAGTTTCATTGATATGTATGTTCATATGCCATAATACTGTTTTTTAGACACATTGAGTAATGAGGAATGATGTAGAGCATCACTGGTTTTGACTGTGATGTAGGACCAACACCTTAGGCACCCATTTCACTGTTCACCAAAATAAAATGACAGTGTGCACCAAGATATATACCATGTAAGCAAATATACAGTTGTGACAAGGAATACTGCTTCACCTTCAAATTAACTTAAAAGAATCAGTATACTGCCTCATGTGAAACCTTTCAATTTAAATACTATATCAGGCATTACATAAAAAAACAACACTTGGTAGATGTTCATGTTTTTATTCATAATAAAACTGTTACTGTACTTAAAAACATTCTGAACACATACATGGGTATAAAATGAACTTTACTATTCTGTACAACTAACACATATGTTGCTTGTCTATTACTATTTGTATCATGAAACTACTTGCAAGAAGGCAGTTTCATACAGTTTACATTTCACAGGTTACATATCACAATAAAATACTGACAATGCATGTGTCACTAGCTTAAAAGTGAATAACCAGTAGCACTCATCATCAAATGGGTGCTCAACTTACATTAACAAGACATTCAAATATAATTCAACATTTCAAAATACTGTGTGCAAAGTTTGTGTTCATACACAGTGCAATTTTTCAAACTACTAAAGATGACTCTTCAGAGAATACTGTGGCCAGAGTGACAGCAAAGTACTAGAAAATTTGACATGGAAGAGTATCTGTATACAGTTCTTTTTACTACAATAATTTTATTCACCGTCTTTACACAAGCTTATAGATTGTTAAAATCACATAAAATTATAACATTTCAACATATGATATTGTTACATTTTAAAATGACGACATGTTTCGATGTTCATTCCATCATCGTCAGGTCTATCAATTAAAATTAAAAACTGTTGCACTTGCTGCCCTGCGTATACTGATTTGTTCTACCCGTTAGATTTTATTTGTTTAACCTCCAGGCTTCTTCCATTTAATTTTTGAAGACTGCGCCTGGATGTCTTAAATCGGGTTGTGTGTGAGGTGCGTGTCCGATATTACGGAGCTGTAGACTGCAGTTGCAATGTAACAATATCATATGTTGAAATGTTATAATTTTATGTGATTTTAACAATCTATAAGCTTGTGTAAAGACGGTGAATAAAATTATTGTATTGAAGAACACAAGCATGACGCAATTAAGATATAAGTTCTTTTTACTATTCTCTTAAAATACATATGGTGCTAACTATAGGAAAGCTGTCAAGAAATGTTATCAAAAGTAGGGATCTAAGTGCTAGTGTAAAGATGTTGGAAATGAAACATGAAAAGTCATTAATCTGTTTCTTTCCCACTCACACACACATAGACACACAATTACATCATACACAACTCTACGCAAGCTACAGGTGTTTTAACTTAAATCTTAAACGTTAGCCAACATTACACTTTAGCAGTCCTAAATAACATACATTGTGAGGCCAGTCAAGATATAAACCAGGGTGATTCTGTGTAGATACTAATTTCACTGCACAATGTGAGTTATATTTAACAAGTGAACCTATATTAAAAACATTACAACGGATGGATTTGTGCTTCAGTGTCATAAATCTATATTTCAGAAAAAACACACACACTGTTCTCACGCACTCAATAACATTTGCCCGAAGCACCAAATGTACACAAACAAACCAACTTATTTCTGCTGAGGTTCATGAAATGACCCAACTCATGGCATAATGTAAATGCAACTACACAGCAATTAAGATTCACAAAAAACACTATTCACACAGGTATACATCATCCACAAATCAGCATGCTTAACATACGTGTTCCCTTCACTGATAAAATGCATCACTTCAACAAATCTAAATAATTACATAAATATTGAATGATTATTTAGATTTAAATGAAAATTAAAAATCAAATGAATGTAAACTGGCACATTCTAGTGGACACCACAAGAATAGTTTTCATTTCAGACAATAATATTAGCTACTGATGGTACTGTGCACTATGTTATGATGGCAAATGATACAACTTACATTCCCAACTTAATGAATACCAGACTTCAGATCAATGACATTTATGGGATTTCTGTTCAACTAGCATATTCCAATTTTAGCATATCACCAAAGAAAAAGCAGATATTTTCAGTGGATGGGCTACTGGGCTACAATAATGAGAGATTCACCCATAACTGATTATTTAGGACTGGGCTACAAGTGATCACAGTACCATTTTAGCCATACTAAGGTATACAGAAAAGCTGTAAGAATCTGGATTCAATCCTTAAGTCCTTTATGTGTCACATATGAGGTTTCTTATTTGGAACAGTTTATCAAACATTATTTTCATGATGTAGATAGATGCTTGAAAACAAAATTCTTAATATTGACAAGATTCTGTGCTAAATTTTTACTAGCAGTTATTCTTGGAATTAAGAAATTGTGAGTATTATAGGATACAACAGTTGAAAGCACTGCTGTGGTACATTTTCAGGAGTAAAAATCAACATTGCACACAAATTTTAATGAAAATGTAAATAAATGTCATTAAAGTCTGATAGATGGCTGATGCAGGTACTTGCCAGTTTATCAACAAATTACTTCAAAGTTCAAGCATCTTCTTAAATAATTTCCTCATTTGGAAAACACTTTTAAAACAACGAAAACAGTGTGATGTCCACATTTCAGACCAATTGCTATCAAAGGTACACAAAAATCAACCCCCCCCCCCCCCC